CAGCGTCTTACTATTTAGTAATGTTTTTCCCGCCCGTGCGCTTCGAACAGCTTTTGAAACATTTCAATAATAATTAGATGAGATCCCAGAAACCATTGAAGCTACAATATTTAAATTTTGTAGAAATAAATTTACTAATAGGACCATTATTGTCGTTGAAAATTGTTGCAATTGGATTGGTTTTGCAGGATTGGATGAGTGCAAGTTGCTACATAATTTCAAAAGTTATTTCTTAATATTATAGAAAACATTCAAGTTACAAGGTTACAGTTTAACATGAAATATATAAAAAACAAAGCTGCTATATTAAAAGTTTAGGTTGCATAAAAAAGTTTGCCATTTAATGTTGTTCAACTCAAAAAATCAATCATTCGTACGAGTTCCTTCCAATTCTCAGATAACATTTAACTAGAAATAAGATTTTTACAGAATTTTAACATTAGTTTGCTCTTAGACGATAGGATTTAGAAGTCTAAAATTTTAATTAGAAAACATGTTCAACCTAATGGTTTATAAATTCTAATATATATATTTTTTTCTATCAAAGAGAACCGAGTGTTCTTCTTAGCATGTATAAAAGCAAAAATCTAACAAAAAAAACTGCTTATGAGATAGCATAGATAATGGTTCAACTTAACTTAGGTAATTACATAAGAACGTAAGCAGACTAACCAGTCTTTTATGTTACAATATCTTTCAATTTTCGTTCTCAGCCCAAAAGTATGCATTAATTGTTGAAAGATGTACTTATTATTTTTAAATTACATAGTTTTAATCTCGTTAAATCTTTTTTATTTTAATATTAATATTATAAAAGAATTATTGTCATATTTTTAAAGGAATTGTTGCAATGTAAAATTCCACTTAAAACTCAAAAAGAATTCAAAAGAATATTCAAAAACAAATGCTTTTCTGCTCTAATTATAAATTCATGTTATTGAAATTTTAACATTTCATTTGCATAGTTCAGTAAATAATCTGTAAATGATTTTAATTTTATTATCGAATAATCATAAAATAATCCTTTTTGAAAATACATACATATATATATTTTTTTGTAATTGTATATGCAATATACATAAATGAATGCAAAAGATAATTTGTGGTTTTAAAAAAGTTGGCTAAAACCCATAGTTTGTAAGGAAGCACTTTTCCCGTCAAAAATTGAAAATACTGCTTGTAAAAGTAGTCTATTACATGATTTAAATTAGTTACATTATTTATACCAAATGTATATATAGAACTATTGCATACATTAAGGATGAGAAAAGAAAATGGAAGAAGCATTAACATTATAGTTGTTAGTTAATAAAAAAAGTAAGTTAAGAAAAAAATTCATATTTTTTAATAGCAAGACTTTTCCCGTTAGCTTTTCAGAAATATAAGCTGCCGAAAGTTCAAGTTTTACAAATTTCGTGGTGCGATATCTTGAGAGTTAGAAAAAATTTTCTTCTAGCAAAATTAACCGTTTCTTAAAAAGCTGCTAAAACTTCGGACTCGTGCAGCTTTTCGGCTGGAACAAAACCGGAATCAAAATTTTGAAAAAAACCAATTTTAGATAACGGTTAAATTGAACTATTTTTTGCTTTTTTTAAAGTCAACAAAACTATGGTACGTTAAAGAAGCTCACCCTATTTTTCTGTGCTTAAAGAATTCAAAAAAGGTTTGTGGTTTCGTTAAAATAAATTAAAAAGTAAAAATTTTCTACGGAAATAAGTTTTAGTAAAGACCAATTTAAAATTTCGGCTTTCTAACATTAAAGGTGTAGGAGTTTTGTTAACAAACAGACGGACGGACAGAGTGAAAATAATAAGCATTTTTTTTTTAAATTTTTTCGAATAGGGTTAAAAACAAAAATTACCATGCTTTTAAATATTTCAAGGTAATAGACGTAAATGAAGTCAAAATAGTTTAAATCTACATTTATTATTAAAATTATAATAATTTTAAAGTCGAGTAAATGATTCTTAATTTTCTATTGGCTGTTTTCTAATAATCTTTAATAGACTTTAATAGACTTCAAAATAGTTTTTTAAAACAAACAATTAAATTTAAAATTTTTGTCTTTTTATTATAGGTTAGTCAACTATAACTAACAATTCTTAATAAGTTTTACTTTAATTAAATTAAATCAATTGGAAAATGATCAAATTACATACAAACTAATGAAAATCATAAAAGTATAAAAAAAACTTTATGACCTCTTCATAAAGGCTTCGTTAAATGCATGTTAATTGCTTCAATATTTAATGAACTAGTTATTTGGGGAATAACTTCCCTTAAAATTTCCAGTTACCGTCTTCTCTCTACTATTATTGCTGTAATATTGCTACATTAGCATCAACAATTGATAATACACTCATATTGCACCGAAAGTTTGCATTGCTGTAATGAAAAATAAAGTTTTTTTCCCTATCCTAGTAAATAATAATAAAGTTCTCCCATTTTTTCAATAATATTATTTTAGAATTTCAATAAATATTTCAAGATTTTAAATTATTAAAAATATTTTTCCTTACAAATAAAAATTTATCTTTATACAAGGACGATTTTAATATTTAAAGGGAAATTTTTCCACTATGAAATTTTTTTTTAAGTGTAAAATATCTTTAAACTGTCTAAATATAGGGCACGCATTATAAAATTTTCATTTAATTTATTAAAAAAATTCCTTTGACAGTTCGAAAATTTTAAAAAGTTAAAGGATAAAAATGGCGTCATAAAATAAAAGTAATTGGAATTTTATAGATTGTAAGTTTTTACATTGGCATAATATGTATATGTATATACATACATACATATGTCATCTCCATGATGACTAAAAGGATATTGATAAAGTTGGTTCAAACCAACGGTTTGCAAAATAGCACTTTTCCCTTCAAAAAGTGAAAATACTGCTTCTAAAAAAAATCTACTGCAATATTAAAATTACTTCCACTCATATACCAAAAAATTTCAAAGATTGCATACATTTACGATGATAAATGTATGCAAACTTTAAAATAAAACAAAAAAAAATTAAAGAGGCGTTAACATAATGCTCGTATTTAATTGCGTGGATTAATTGCGTGAATTAAGGAAAACAATTATATGTTTTAATTGAATGACATTTAGAGTTAGTTTGCTGCGTTTACAGAAATTTGGAGAAGCTTACAGTTTCGGAAATATAAGGTGCAAAAAATTCAGATTTTAAAAATTTCGAGAGGGGGTGGAGGAGGAAAACTTTTACGCGGTAAAAGAAGCAAGCCACTACTTTTTTGCGCTTGCAGAATTTAAAGAATGTTTCTGGTTTTGCTAATAAAATTACTTAAAAAATGGCATTTTTAGGACTTTGTGATGCTAACTTTTAGAGGGAGGAGGAGATAGATAAAAATTTTCTTCTGCGGAAACAAGTTTCTAGTAATGATCTAAGTGCATTTGTTCGATTCAGCTTTCTATCTTAAAGAGCGTAGAATTTTTGTAAACATGTCTACGGACGAACGGATGGATGGACGGACATAGTAAAATTAATAACCAGTTTTTTTCAAAAATTTTTTGGAAAATTACTGAAAATGTATTATTAAGGAATACATAAAAATTATCACGAATAATCATCAAAAATTTTCTATATCATATAATTTTCTTATTCTTAAGAAATATAATTTATTCACGTTCAATATCCTTATATGTTATTTATCCTTTAATACCTTCTACTGGGTATAAAAATTATAGCATAATAATATTTTGTCGATTACTTAAATGAAATTCTCAATGCTCATATGAAACTTTCATTAATGGGTTCTTTAACTTTTCTTACATTAATTTTATTAATTAATAATTATTCTTCGTTATATTGATTTTGCTTGAACATATTGTATAATTGTTAAGTAAAATTTCATTTAAACTAAATTAATTTTGAGTTTTTAATGTTAAATTGATAAATTACCAAGTATGTACAAAGAACCACAGATCAAATTTCTTCTGCTTGATATAATTTATTTTCGTGAAAGGTACGTTCACATTTTCAGTTCTCTGATTGAAATATTGGTTTCAAATCTATGTGTTTTTACGATCAAAATTTTGTAATAGTTTTTATTGATTAAATGTTGTCTTGCTTTTGAGATCTCTACACAAGAAGTCATTATAAGGGCACATTAACTTTTAATAATGATTAGAAAATTTTTTTTTATTAAAACAAAAATATTCATTTTACGACGAAGACAAAATTAGAGTAGTTTTTTATAGGATTGGTAATACAACAACAATAAAAACCATTGCAATAAGTCCATAACGAATAAACTATTTTAAGGTAATTTCTATATTAAACATATTTATATATATATGTGCGCATCTTACGCTTTTAAAAAAATTTGTTTGTAATACATGCAAATTTAATGTATTTTTCACTCAAACTAAAGCTTAATACCATATAATTGGAGGAAATTAAGATCATTTTAAGCATTAATCACATGTAGATTAACTTTTAAGTAACTGCTGAACAGGTTCATGCCTTAAATAGAAAAAGATAATATAAAATTATTTATGAAGATTTTAAGAAATTTTTATTTGTTCGTCTTTTCTAGAATCGCAAAGGGTGCATTATTTTCTAGAAGATTTTAGAAATTACATTGTTAAAACTATAAACCAAAAAATAAATATTCTGACAACTAAGACTTTTCTTGAAGTTACTTGAAACATTTTTGAAAATCTTCTGTTATAAGTCTATTAATGTTTTCTCTTGTTATAAATTTTAAACTACTCAAAAATTGCATGCTAAAAAGTTTTGTTGCCTTATTTACACTAAATTTTCTTATTTCCTTTGATTTCGTTTTTATTTTGATTATATCGAGGATTTTTAAAGTTATGCGAATACAACTTTCACCCATACATGGCAGAACTTACTGTAACGTTGCGGATATAATGAATTTTTATTTACAAATTTTTTGTTTTAGCACATTAAAATTTTTTTTACTTTGATTAACCAAATTAATGTTTCTTTTGTTTTCCTTTTTTGTTTGCAGGCTGTTGAAAGCATCGAAGAATTTGAAGCTAAGAAAACATCAGTGACTCATTCCTCATATACTGAACAGACAGAAATTATCGAACATACAACATCACAAGAAGTAAAGGTAAGAATGAAATAAAAATTTTTCTCTCATTTATTTTACGATGCCAATTACCTCGATTTAAAATTAAATAATATTTTATTTTAAAACCTTAAGAATAATTTTACTGTTAAATTAATGATGTACTTTTAATTATATTAATTGCGTAATTTATTTAAGACATACATACTTACATTTGTATTTATTTGTATACGTATAAAAATATCTATATAAACTTGAATGGGAATAATTTAAAGAATCTATAATGAGATCTTATATAAATATATTTTTTGGAGTTCTTTGCGTTATATTATTTGTTTACTAAATTTGTTTAAATAAATGAAAATTTAAAATTTTATTTTTGAATAAAATACAATAATTTGCTCTAGGAAACTAAGGAGGTCTATAATCAATATTTATTAAACGGGAAAACTGAACTTAAATATCATACTATATATTTAGAGAAGTTACCATTACCAAGTACTGGCGGTGAAGTTGAAGGTAAGTCATATTATTTTGTATTATTATCAACGAAAAAATTTGTATTTTAACATGATTTTCAGAGATCTGTTATGTAAATTCGATTCAAAATGTTTAAAAAATTTATGAGGCGCACCAATCCTTAAAAAAAATATCCAATATCGTTATTTCCCTTCAAATTAAGCTTTAAGGAGTCTCATTTTATGTTACCTTCAAGGACATACATTAAAATAAAATTTTGCATATCCTTATATCTTTCTGCAAGTATAAATGAAATTTATTATTTAATCTTTTCTGGAAATCTTTTCTTTTATTTTAACGGTCTTTCGAAAATCTTCTTTAATTTTGAGTTTTGATTCCATGAAGTCGAATATCTTAAATGCAATTGAAAAAAAGATTACATTCTGTTAAAACCAATAAAAATTATTTTATTATACAGGTTGATTCAGTTATGGGCACAATATTACACACTATAGTTTAGAACATAAATAAAGTTGGGTCAAACCAATGGTTTGTATTGTAGCACTTTTCCCTTCAACAAGGGAAAATTCTGCTTTTAAATACAGTCTATGTATACCTATCAAACTATTAAAATTATTTTCATTCATATACAAAACTATTTCTAAAATTGCATATATTTAGGATGACGCATATATGCAGTCTTTGAAATAAAGCAAATATTAATATAAAAAGGGGTTAACATAATGCTCGATTTTAAGGGTTAATTGTGTGAGTTAAGAAAAATAATTATATTTTTTAATTTCATGGAATTTACCGTTAGCTTTTTGCGTTTATAAAAATTTGGAAAAGCTTGCGGTTACGGAAATATAAGGTGTCAAAAATTCAAATTTTACGAATTTCAAGAGGTGATAACTTGAGAGGGGGTGGAGATGGAAAAAAATTTTCTTCTAACGAAATAAACTATTTGTTAATGTCTAAAAGCTCCTAAAATTTCAAGCTTCTACAGGCTGGGGTCTAAAAGAAAAATGACATCAAAAATTAGGAAAAAAAGGACTTTAGATAACGGTAAATTTGAACGGCCATTTTGTTTTTCTAAAGTTTAACTATAGTATATCGCGCTAGAGGAAGCAAGCCACTGCCTTTCTTTGTTTGCAAAATTTCAAAAATGGTTATGGTTTCATTGCAACAAATATTTAAAAAAGGCCATTTTTAGGGTTTTGGGGGGGTATAACTTCTAGAGGGGGGGAGATAGGTAAAAATTTTGTTCTACGGAAATAAGTTTCTAGTGAAGATCTATGTACGTATGATTTCAGCTTTCTATCTTAAAGGGTGTAGAAGTTTTGTAAACAAAAAAAGTGTCCACGGACGGACGGACGGACGGACGGACAGAGTGAAACTAATAAGCACTTTTTTCAAAAAATTTTTTGGAAAAGTGCTAAAAAGTATGTAAAATTTTTTACATTACATAAAAATATTAGATCAAATTCTTACTTATGTCCATTTGTTTTTGCTTATATTTTCCATTCCACAATAGGTTGAAGTTTTAATGGAATAGTAGTAATAGTCTTCTTGAAAGAACTAATACACAACTTGAAGTAAACATATTAATTACTTGTTTACGAACTTTTTATATTTTCGGATTTTCAACTTGGAAAAATCAAATTTTCCCCAAATTTTTATTTTTTTTTAGTTCCATTTATTCCGAAAATTTCGTAAGAAATTTTTTGAAACTACACACTTTAGATGTTTTTTACATTCTTCTGCTTGGTCAAGTAGTTATAGCAAAGAAACCATTTTAATTTCAATTTTTTAAAGGCATTTTTAAAAAGTACGAATTTCAACAATTTTTACTAGTTTTGTATTTAATTGATGTGCTATGATTCTCACTTGTTGTTAATTTTCGGTCAAAATAATAATTCTAAAAAGTAGTTGATATTCTGGGAACCGCAATTTTGAATTTCAAAAACTTCCTATGATTTCACTATTTTCCAACTCTAAACGATGGTAAATAATATTGTACTCATTAGTGTGTATCACCCTATAAAACAGCTTTTTACGATTTTTTAAAATAATGTTATCGATTTACATTTTGTTGCTAATTTCCTCATGCCTCTTTAATTATCGAAAGTAGTATTAAAAATTTTTTGCTGGTTATATGGACAAAAATTGCATATTTAAAAAAAAATTATTGACTATGGCAGTAAATTAAAAGAAAAAATGAGATTATGGTTAATTATTTTTATAAAGTCCATCTGAGTTAATAGAAATTTTGAGTTATAGTCAAATAATAGGCACACGTTTTACCCATTTTCAATAAATCTCGCAAACATTAATAAATTTTCTAGTATCCGTAATAAATAACTAGATTTTTTTTTAACTTGGCTAACTTACATAATAAAAATAAACATTAAAAAAAAAAAAAGACTGCGTAAATTGAATTTATGTTAATAAAAATTTCAAATTAAATGCCAATAATTCACAATAATTTTATTTTATATTAAAAATAAATGTGTGCGATAATTTGTTTTTTTTTTTTTAGTTTGAGTAAAGTTTTCAGTGGAGGGAAATTTTAATTTAATTTATTTTTGTTTTTCTCATTTTTTTTTCTCTAATATAATTATTTTAGTGAAATTATATTAAATTAGACTTAAATTATCCACATGGTAACCAAAATTTATATTTGTATGTATTTAAAATGTTATAAAAATGAAAAATAATAAATAATGTGTGGTGGAATTTGAAATCACTTTTTAACTTGTGACACCATTTAGATTCACTACATTATATTTCATTACACGTACTTATGGTGCTGTCAATTTATATTAAAATAAAATTTAAAAGAACATGGATTTTATATAATATTGATCAAGGTTTTTACGAAAGAAATAAAAATAATTTTTGACAATTTATGCAATATTTTGTGATTTTCTTATTTTTCGTTATAATTTTTATTTTCTAAATAAAACTAAAATAAATTTTTATTCAATAAATTAAACTATATTATATAAGTATATATTATGTATACCTATATACATTTCAAATTTAAATATAATTTACAAAATTAAATCACAAAATTTAATCTTTTGAAGTTTGTACATACAAACATTTATTGATGGTGATCCGCAAGGAGTGATTTTTATTTATTTTATTATATTTTTTTTTTTGCATAAAATTCATTATACCCTGGGAAAAAATTCCGGCCTCTTGTATATAAAAATTTTTTTTTCCAATTTTTGTTTGTCTCTTTCTTGTTTGTTTTAAATTTTATTTAAAAATAAATTAATAAGTTGCAAATTATTAATATTAAATATTATAAAAATATTTTGAATTTTTCGCTCAAATTTATACAATATTAATTATATTAAATTTAAATTTATATTAATAAAATATTTTATTCTGCGACTTGAAATTTAAAAATTTTTAAATTTATTTAACAAGCTATTCAAATTGAATGTAAAATCTCTTATAATTTCAAGATTTTTGAAACTTACGCGTAAAATTTTATTTACTTTTCATTTTCTAAATTGTTAGTGAATGAGTTAGAATTTTAAAAATTATTTACAAATTTTTTATTTTAGTCTAATACAGTTTTTTCAAAAAAAAAAAAAAAAAAAATGAATCTAAGTAAATATGGTCACAAATCCAAACTTGAGAGAATCGCAACTTGAGAGAAAATTACTACGTATACAAAAATTTCGGTGTAACAGAATTAAAATAATTTGGAAAATCCACAAACTAATTGTATCAGTTATGTTTAAATTATCAAAATCATATGATTAATTATACATGGGAATTAAATGTAATATTTGCAATGTTTTAATGTCATAAATCAATTAGAACTTAAATCAGTTAGTTCAGTGTGATATAACTTAAAACTTATACACTGAAAAAAAAGTATTTTATTCGAATATTCTTTCGAGGTTTTACTGAAATTGGAATCAAATTTATTTTTCTAAAAATATAATAGAAAAAAAACTTACTTTTCTATTTTGATTATAAAATAACTCAATTAGATTTTTTGCTTAGTTCATAAAATCAGAGGCGCACCTAAATGAATCATGCAATCCTATAATGTGCATTTATTATAAGGCTTTCATGCCAAATTGAAATCAGTATTAGAACCATATTACTTGAACATTCTTCTAATTTTATGAAGCACTTGCCAATTTTGAAATTTGGCCTTGCATTACGAATAATAAATTGTGGTTATAATTGTAAAAACATTTTTAATTGTTTTCCTTTAAAATGGGCGGCTAAGCATTGAATGCTTTCTACTCACTATTGTGGGCTATTACTTAAAATGAACCATATTAAAAATTTTATAATTGAATCCACAGTTTATGGATTCGGAGAAAAATATGATAAAATTCCATTCGTACTCTATACAAGTATGTCAATAAATGCTAATAAACATAATGCAATTGTAAAGGTGTTTCAATATTTTCATATTTTATTAAAATTTTCTTTATAATTTTTAAATTTACCTTGAATTTTATTTTGCGAAATTGTAGTCTGAAAATATTGTTAAGTACTTAAACAATGATAATAAAAAATTCAAAGAATTTTTATTACAAAACAAGAAAAAAGTAAGTGAAAAATTTTAATGTAAAATTTTATTAATTTTTTGTTTTCCTTTTATTTTTGTTAGTGAGAATTTGTGAAAAGATGTGCTTTATTTAATATACTTTATTCACACTTGAATATTTTATATAAATTTACCACTGAAAAGAGGAACCAGATTTTATTATTCAAATCAATGAACATTTTAAAAATCAATACTTTATTGAATGGGAAAATTATGATTTTCATAACTTTTTACTGAAATTATTTCCTCTGCCTTATTCTTTAATTAACTTCAGGACTTCTTGTTTAAGAATCTTTCAGTTTTTTTTCTATAAGAGAATTCGATTACATGATTTCAATATTTCAGCGAATCATCAAGAAAATATCATCTAAATTCCAAATAATTTTGATAACCTTGAAATTGAAAGCAAAAAATCAAAATTTTATTAATATTTTTTTTTCCTCAATATAAATATATGGGAATAAATTAATATATA